CTTGCCGCCCACCCCCACACCAGCAGGACTCGACGAGTCTCCTTGGGGGTCTGCCCCCCACAACCTTCGTTTATGTAACACCAGGTCAAAGATAAAAAAATGAAACAAAACCAAAGCCCCGCTTCCGTCCTCAAAGAACCTACCCGGGAGAAAGACCTCGAATTTAAAGGGTCCTAAGGACCTGTGTGCTGAGGCCAGCATGGCCTGGTGCTCCTGCGCTCTGTGCTAATGAAATGTTTACACCACAGAAATCAGGATGCATCCCAAACCAGCCCCCAACAAAAGCCTGTTGTTAAACATTTTCCAACATATCTACTACTGCTCAAAAGTCGATGGGAGGACGGGGGACCTGGGTGGCTCAGTCGGTTAAGCATCTGACCCTTGATTCGTCTCAGGCCATGACCCCACAGTGTGAGCCCCACTTAGGATTCTCTCTCTCTGTGTGCCCCTCCCCCACCTGCATGAGTGCTGTCTCACAAAATTACTTTAAAAAAAAGTAACTTGGGGCGCCTGGGTGGCGCAGTCGGTTAAGTGTCCGACTTCAGCCAGGTCACGATCTCGCGGTCCGTGGGTTCGAGCCCCGCGTCAGGCTCTGGGCTGATGGCTCAGAGCCTGGAGCCTGTTTCCGATTCTGTGTCTCCCTCTCTCTCTCTGCCCCTCCCCCGTTCATGCTCTGTCTCTCTCTGTCCCAAAAATAAATAAACGTTGAAAAAAAAAATTTTTTTTTAAATTAAAAAAATAAATAAATAAATAAATAAATAAATAAATAAATAAATAAAAGTAACTAAAAAACAAAATGGATGGGAGGAACAGGGGAGACTGGAGAAAGATGGGGGGCCCTGAAAGTCTGACATTCACACTGGGAAGAGGCAAAAGGAGCACCCTCCTGATCAGAGCTAAGGACACGGGTAGAGGCTTCAGACAGCATCACGGGTCCAGGGAAGGGCACTGGGCCACTGTGTAAGGAGCCACAGCACAGTCAATGGTGGCTGACAAGGCTGACCAGGGAGGCAAGGCCACGCAGCCAACAGCACTGCAGAAAGTTTTTAGGTCCAAGTCTTAAGAGAGACCAGATTTTCTGTTGGATCACTTGGGACAGGTTAGCAGAGCTTGAAGGGGACAGCATGAGACAGATGAGATGGCACGGGAGGGACCGGACAGCACTGAAGGCTGAGGACCAGGAGTGAGGTCGCAGCCATCATTCAAGAGAAGACACGGCCTGGCTCAGGGGGTGGGGGGGTGGAGCCTGGGACACCTCAGTGATGCTAGGAGGCAGAGGGGAGTGATGGTGAGAGAGAAGACAGAGCTCCCCACCCTCACAGGCATTGGAGCAGCTCAGCCTGATGTGCTCTGAACGCAGAACTTTCCCCTAAGACAGCAAGGCAAAAAAGTTCTGCTGCTAAAAATAAAGTGTGAAAGCTGCCAGTCTAAAATATGATAGAGACAGAGGACACATGGGGGTATGCAGGAATGGGAAGGGACAGCAGCTTCCAGGCTAGAGTGGTGGCAGATCGAAGCCATGCCTGTCCTGCTCTCCTCCACGCCACTGACGCTGCCACTCAGCCATCTCAGGCCATCTTGCCAGCACACTGGACATCAGCGGCCAGGATCTCGACCCTGACCTCCAGCCTGCACAAACCTGAAGTCACTCTCCGCCCCCCATCATCTCCACCTCGGGGCCTTTGCTTGCTCATTTCCCTGGCAACAGCCACAGCTCCTTCTGATCCGTCAGGTCAGAGGTCTCTGGACTCCTGCCCCTTTGCTGGCTCGATTCCCCTCAGAGCACTAAACCCACTGCACTACAGCCGGGGCTTGGTGTGCTTCCCACACCCCAGGGCCTGCAGAGTGGTCCTCCTGCACACGTCATTGCCCACCCTTTCCTCCTGTTCCCACTCCACTCACCCTAATGCAGGGTCCTCCTACCTCTCCCATCAAGCACCACCAGACTCGCCACTGGCCCCCAGCTTCCATTCTCCCCTTTCCAGTCCACCCCGTACACTTAAATCAGATTAGCTTTCTCCACCCACAGTTCTGATCATAGCATTTCAAGATCTCCCCACAGCCAAACAGACAAACTACAACACCTCCCCCTTCCTGCCAAGCCCCCCACAAAGAAGCCCAACGAGCCCTCCTAGTGTCTGACTCCCAACCCCCTCCTCACCCTAACCCTACGGCTGTCTCTCAGCCTGGTCTCTACTGGCAGAAAACCCACCTGTGCCCTTCCTGGCCTAGCTCAAAAGCTAAGTCCCTCAAGAGCCTCCCCCATTTCCCTAGTCAAATGCCCCCACAGGCCTCCCTGCGACCCAGCGCCACACCACACAGGTGGCCTCCAGGCGCCAGCAGGGGCAGGAGCAGGAGCAGGCTGCAGACGGCCTGGGAAGGGAGTGCTCTCCCTCGCAGCACTGCCCCCAAGCTCCTGGCCAAGCCAAAGGGGCCAGGTGGCTCACCTCACCGGAAGCAGAACCGCCACACCGGACTTGTCGGGTGTCTTTTACATGTTCACCCTATGGCTCAGCCGGTTGAGCGTCCGACTTCCACTCAGGTCAGGATCTCGCAGTTTGGGAGTTCGAGCCCCGTGTCGGGCTCTGTGCTGACAGCTCAGAGCCTGGAGCCTGTTTCCGATTCTGTGTCTCCCTCTCTCTGCCCCTTCCCCGCTCATGCTCTGTCTCTGTCTCTCAAAAATGAATAAACATTAAAAAATTTTTTTAAATGTTCACCCTAAAATTAACACTCTGTGTAATACGCAAAAAAATTCCCTGGGCAATTCAAATACCATCGTGTTTGTGCGTAATTATGTGGCAAGGCTGGGTGCTTAATGAAGCTTACAGGACAGACACACAAAATAAATAGATCCTGCCTGGTCAGTCACAAACTTTTCGCTCATTCTTGCTCTCAAAGGTATCAACTTTTTTTTAAGTTTATTTATTGTTGAGAGAAAGAAAAAGCACAAGTGCAGGAGGGGCAGAGAGAGGTGGAGAGAGAGAGAGAGAGAGAGAGAGAGAGAATCCCCAGCAGGCCCCACACTGTCAGCGCAGAGCCCGATGCGGGGCTTGAACCCACAAACTGAAAGATCATGACCTGAGCCAAAGTCGGGCGCTTAACCACCCAGATGCCCCTCAAAAGCATATTCTTTAAAGTCTCATTTATGATTCAACTACTCAGTTCAGGACAAAGAAAAAGTTCCCTGAGGACCCCTCCTTCGCCCCACTCAGAGCCCTCAGGGGTCCCTCTGGTCTACGGCACCTGCACAGACCCGTGAAGCAGGTCTCAGGTTCCCTGCAAATCCCCACAGATGGGGAACACGAAAAGCGTTATGCTGGAAGAAAAAGGGTGCAGCATGAAAACAAATGTCAGGAGTGAAGTGTCAGCACACGGGAGGTAAGGGAGCGCTGCCTGAACCAACGCCCGGCAGGCCGCAAGTCCCGCCAGCCTCACACGGACACACCTGTCATCTGCCCAGCACCCGAACACCCGGCTCCTCTCTTCTCCGCACCTCTCTCCCACTCTGAGTAAGCGTAATTCAGGTGACAAAGTGGCATGAGACCTTGGCCTGACCGACCAGATGGGCACGTGACACTCCCAAGCCCGAGCCTTTCACGGAAGTCTCTCCTTTCTCCACCAGGATTGCTTCACAGGCTGGATAGGGGCCCAGGGCCGGTGGAGACAGTCCCACTACCACTCAGGCACCTGCCACACAGGTCAACACTTCAGAAAACAGCAGACTGCTGACCGCAAGCCCGAGGCACCATGCCCGAAGTCTACACAGCAAGTGTTCCAATGATGCTCCTTTCTACTAAAGCCAGATTACACCAAGTCTCACTGACCTGGAACAAACACAGTACCCACCTGGCCCATCGCTGCGCTGTGTTCTCACGCACTTAGTAGCTCTACTCCCACCAGGCTTTACCCCTCTTTGGCTGTTCCATGCCTGGGCCCAGAAAGTGGCTGGGAACTGGACTTGAATTAAATACAGACCAGCTAGGTGGCATCCAGTGAAAAAGGAGCTACAAGTTCACGTCTCTTGAAGCTGAGAGGGTGCAGGTAACCGGCAGAGGTGGAAAGTGGGCCGGCACAGACGAGGAACTGGCCCAGTGCCCAACGTGAGCGCTAGTCGGCAAGGCCCACGGTGGAGCCAGCCGACTGGAGCTTCCCAGTCTTACGGCCTGAATTTTCTCTCAGCTACTACCCCAAGAGGCATAACCCTAAGGACACTCATTCCTGCTGGAATTTACGAAACAGTTTGGGTACTGATTACGGGTGAAGCGGCGGGCTCGATGGCAGCCACCCCAACACCAATTCCCAGAATACATTTACAAACCAAGATCTGTGCCGGCTAGTCCTGGAGGTGCCCGCAAGCGTGCCACTAACAGGAGGGCCTTCCGTGGGAGCCCCAGCCGTGAGGCCAACCAAATCCCCAAGCTGGCCGCAGGACCACCCCGGCCCGGAGCCCCGGGCGCCCCGCCGTAACCGACCTCAGGTTCCGCGCACGGAAGCTCCAGGCCCGGGCCCCTCGAGCGGCAGATCGAACGGCGACAAGCCTCGCGGCGGCCCCGTACCCTCCGCGCGGGCCGGTTCCAGCGGGGCGGACGCGCGGCCGAAGCCCCGGTTGAGGCCCGCGCCGCTCGCTCACCTCTCCCCGTCGCCGCGCGTGGGCCGCCGCCGCGCTCAGGCTCGCCGTGGTCGAGACCGGAGCAGGGAAGGAAGAGCGTGGCCCGCGCCGGAGAGCCTCACCGCGCCGGGAGCGAGCCCACCGCACCGCTGCAGCGCCTCCGCCACCGCCACCGCCACCGCCGCCGCCTAAGCTTGCAAGATGGCCGTTCACGGGGCGGGCGGGGGAACTGTGCTCACCCCCACTTCCGATTCCGGTGCGCCGTGCCCCGGGGTGGCCGCTCTAGCCAGCCGGGCGGACGTCGCCTGCGTCTCGCTGCCGCCTCGCGCCCCGCCAGGGAGAGAGCGTCGGCGCGTGCGCACTAGCGGGCAGCTCCTTAGGGCGGGGGCCGCAGGACGGTGGGCGCATGCGCTTCGGCGGGCAGCTCCGGGCGGTCGGACCTCCGGTGTCTCCGCTGATCTGGTCAGGCCGTCGAGGCCCTCCTGGGCATCTTTCCGCTACAGCGTTGTCGGCGGGCGGCCCCAGGGGTTGTCAGCGGCCGCAGGGGTCCCGGATCCCCTCACTCTGCACACTACCTCCCCATGAACCCTGGCCGAGAGCGGGGCGCGCCAATCCCAGGAAGACAGACAAGCTCCGTCAAAGGGTGTCTCCGGAGGTGCCGGCGTGAACTCCGCCTTGGGTTCACTGGGACCCCGACCCTCCCACCATGCTACCCTCCACGGAATGGGAGCAATCCGGCCTGGGGAGCGCAGTCCTTGTGCCCACTTAACAGGAGAGAGCTGGAGGCGCTAGAATCCTCCGGCCCCATCAGTAACTGAATCTGCCCAGGGCCCCTGAGAGTCATGTCCTGAATCTCCTTGTCTGGCCACCAGTGAGGCATGGGGATGGGGAGCACTACCAGAACCTGGGCCAGGTGGGGTCTGCCATGGGCAAGCCTGTCCAGCCCCTGCCTGTGGGGAGAGCTGGCCTCATAAAAATAGTTTCACTGTTTCCCCAACTGAATTTTCCACCCAGCCCATGAATGGGGTCATTATGCAACAGTGGACACTGCACTGAGGCTTGCTTTCTGCTCCCACAGTCCCCTCCCTGGCCCTGGGGGTGGGGGGGTGGGGGGGTGGGGAGGCAGAGCCTGGCCACTGTGAGTATGCCTGAAGCAGTTAGGTGCAGCTGCTGCTCCCAGGGCCGGCATCAAAAGGGTCCTGATTGCAGAGGCCTGGGGCTGGCCCTCTCTGCTCCTCAAGAGTGCCGTGGGGGAAGGCTTGGAGGGACGTGAGCACACAGGAGGTAGGAGAGTTGGTGTCTGAACGCGGGGTGGGCTGGGCAGCTGAGTAAGCCAGCATACGTACTGCCTACTGCCCTCCCTGGAGAGAAAACCCGGGACAGGGCCAAGCGGGGGCTGGGGTATCCACTCATAGGTTGTTTCAGGGGAAGTGCTGCATATCGACTATGAGGCAGGTGGTAATCATCAGCCTGGACAGGTCTGGAAACCACGTGCCGGACTGCATGGCTCTGTGGGACAACGCTGGTGTTCCAAACCCTTCACCAAGCCCCTGAGTGCCTCTTGGTACAGGCCACAAGTCAGCGAGGTGACTGATCACACAACCATTAACAGATGCCAGCAGAGGGCAGGCAGCCATGCTTACCCTCGACCCTGGCCCACCCGGGGCATCTCAGGCAGGATCTGGCCCCAGGCCCTGGGCAGAACCCAGAAGGAGTGCCCGTCGTCCCCCAGTCTGCTGCCAGGTGAGTCGACCCGTGGGAATCCAGCCTGCTTCCGCTTTCTACCACGTCACCCAGTCCTGGCCTGCCTGCCTGGTGGGGAGGCTGGCAGTTTCTGGAGCTCGGCCTCCTGCTGCGACACTGCGCATCGTGCCTGTGCCTTCACTCCTCTGCCTCCTCCGAGAGCTCTGCTGTCCCCATGCAGGGCGGACCCAGCTCTTTTTAGCACATGGAAAGTTACGTAAGGGAGGCTACCCCAGGGCACCTGGGGTTCAAGCACAGGTGTGTCTGGCACGCACTCACGCGCACCTGCAGAGCATAGGCAGTGGCGGTACGGGCCTGGGTCCTCGGGCAGGTAGAGGCACTCTCCTGCCTCGGTTGGTCCCTGTGTAAAGTGGGGGAGCCAGTGGGGTTGCATCTTGATGGAAAAGCTCAGCTCAGAACCCCCCAGCATCAGTCCCAACCTCCTGATCACCAAGCACCCTTGAGTCACACCTGAGGAAGAAGGTTCCCGAGACAGATGTGGCCACCAGGTCCTGCCAAGACCCTCGCCCACCGGCCCCACCTATGCTGCCCTCCGGGCCAACAAGGCCCACGCTGCCCAGGCCTCTGGCCGTAGAGCTGGTGGCCTCAGCGGTCAGGCAGGAGTGGGCAGCTAGGCTGGCAGTTAACGACGACTGAGACCTTCTCAAACCCCAAAGCCACCCTTCTGGAGAAGAAGCTGGAGCTAACCTTCCTGCCGGACTTCCTTCCAACCACTGCCACTTCCGCCAATGGCCAAGCTGCAGGGAGAAGATGGCCGTGCTCACTCCTGAGCATCTTGGGTCCAGGATCCATGCTCCGTGTCAGAAGAGCTGCCAGGAAGCCAAGAGGGTTAGAGCCAAGAAAACACCCCCCCCACCCCCACCCCCACCACCACCACCACCACCACCACCACCACCACCACCACCACCACCACCACCACCACCGGTTGCCACCCCCGCCCCAGGGCAGGACCTGAGGGTCTCAGTTGCATGTGACCAGTAGGGGACCGTGGGACCAGGGCTCAAGAGAGGGTACCAAAGAGCCAGCCTGGAGGTGACCAGGCAGGAAGTGTGCACACCCCACCCCTTCCAGTGGGAACACTGGGCAGACCCTGAGCTCCACCCACCCCCAACTGCCCGGAGGCACCTCAGGGAGCCCCCTCTGTGCTGGCCAGAGCCTCTGCTTAACACTGTGGTCAGTGCTTAGGGGAGTGAGGGGACTCTGCATTTGCACCGGGAAGGCCCCTCACCCTCCTGGAAGCAGGTGGGCCAGCCCCCAGGCCCAGGGAGGATGACCCCCACCCGCCCATGCCCACCGGGAATCCAGCACACATACAGAGGCCGTGGGCTCGACTTCACTTCTGTCACACCAGAATCTCCTAGGACCGACTCTGAGCTGCCCGAGGGTAGGGCCACCCACGGAGGAATGAGCTGAGCCTGGGGGCCCCGTGCAACACCAGCACCGACAGTGTCCAGGAGGGCCCCAGCCTGGACGGGGACTCCTTGGCACCCCTAGACCCAGCCTCAGTGGAGGCCGGCTCTCAAAGTCCTGATGGGGGGTGTACTCCAGGTGGGGCCAGCATCCTACTGTCCCGCGGAGAGGGTGGAGCGCGTGGGGCCTCTGAGGCGTCCACGCATCCCTTCAACACACAGCTATAGAGGAGTGACCGCACGGGCCCACACTGTGCCGGGGGCTGGGGACGCCCTGCCTGGCCCCAGCCCTCAGTCCTGCTCCTCGGGGGGCCAGTGAGGCTGGGGAGGCAGGAGAAGGGATGTGCCCGGAAGAGAGGCGGGGCTGCTGGCCTCACGGCCACTAGATGCAGTCTCTGTGTGCTCTCTGGCCTCTCAGAGGTGGGCTCTGGGGTGGCCTCCTCCCCTCCCCACTGGTTGCCGAGCCTTGGCCCTGGCACCTTCTGCTGGCCCCTTGGCAGTCCTCAAGGTGTTTCCCCAGGAGGAGGGAAGGAAGGTTTGTGCCTTCTGCCTGGATGAGCTCAGGGCACTGAGCTTCCTCGGGGCACTCGACTCGAGTCCTTCAGGGCACTGGGCATCGATCGACACAGGCGTGCCTCTGTCCCTGGCCAGGGCTCTTTCTCCCACAGGAACGCAGGGGCTCCCTCCAAGCTCCCTCCACGCTGCCCTTGGCTGGCAGGGACTCTGGCCAGACCTGAGCCGGGGCCTCCAGGGCCGTCCTTCCTGGAGGCTCATTTCTTCAGCCTCCTGAGCCACAGGTTACCCCTGTTCTCATTCCAGAGCACCTGGGACCTTCCCGTGCTGCTAGGAGGCCTCCCGCAGGACAGTGTGTGCCCCACCCCCTTGGTAACATCGCCTACCCCACGAAGGGAAATTGCTTGTGTGGTGGCAGAGGCCTGAGACACCCCAGGCCCGTGCTGAGGTTAGGGGCTATGATGCTTGGGGAGGGACCAGTGATATCAGCTGGTCCCACCTCTGAGCCTTGTGCAGGAAGAGGAAACAAAGGCCCATTCTGCACTTGAGGAAATGGGCTCAGAGAGGTTGAGTAATTTGGGCAAAGTCCCACAGTAAGTGACAGAGATGTGATTTGTACCCACACCCGCGTGAGTCCAAGGCCTGCTCTCCCCAGGCGTGAAGGCATGACTTCCCTCTCTAGGCATCACCAGTGGCCATCTGCCTCCTTCCAAAGCCACAAGGCTGATGACCCCACCCCTCCTCAGAGCCCAGGCGTCCCAGCAGGGCCTATTGGAAGTGGGGCTCCCTCCCTCAGCACCCATTGGGGGCAGGGTGTAGAGCCTGCCCTGGGGAGGGGGCAGTGGGGCCTGAGCTACGCCTTCAAACCTGGGATCAGGCTGAGGATCTGGTCGCTTGGGATGGTGAGGCCTCTGGGTCATCCTGGGGACATGCTAGACGCCCCCCTCCCCCCAACTGGGCCAGAGGGGTGGGGTGTCCTGGGTTGTCCTGCCTCTGGTGCACCGTCCGGCCTCATACAACAACAATGAGGCCAAGGACTTCAAACCCCCCCAGACCGTGTGATTTGGCCTTGAGTGTGGTGTGTGTTGTCAGCATGTGGTCTCAGCGCGTATGTGGCCAAGACACGTGGTGTCTCATCTTCGTGGGAGGCGTGTTGTCTTAGTGTGTGGTGTGATCAGCGGTGGCCATATTATATGGTAGGAAGGATGAACTGTGTGCCACAGGCCACCAGGTGCTATCTCCACACCCAGGCCCTGGGTTGTTCCCACAATTAGAGCCTGTCCCAGCAGCTGGGCGGCTGGCCCTAGACACCTGAATTCTGGGAGCGGAGGCCCCTGCCCAGTGCCCCTTGGCCACAAATACCTGTAGTCGGTGCTCGCAGTGTGAGCCAGGCAAGCGGTGGGGAGCAGGCACCACTCCCGGGCCTGTCAGGAGGCAAGCGGGCAGACAGGCGAGGGGCCAGGGCACTGCAGGGTCTGCTGGGAGTCAGGTGTCTGACCCAACAGAGATCTGAGCGTCAGGAGCTGGGGGAGGGGAAGGTCTGCTCAGAGAGAGGCAGGGCAGCCATCCGGGGGGGCTCTTCTCCCTCCAAGAGCCCTTTACCCCTAGGCCTGGCGCCCAAGGCTCTGGGCAAGAAAGGCTCACCCAGGGGGAGGACCCCCATCCCTGCCCTCACGGCTTCCCCTTCCAGGTCCAGAGTGGGTGTGCCTGCCCCCGCCAGCCAGGCCCCTCCCCGCCTCACCCCACACCCAGCCAGCCTGTTATAAATAGGAGGCTGCCTGGCCAGTGTCGGGCCACATCCCACTTTGCCTTGTTACCCACTACAGCGTCGTCATCAGGCCACCCACCACGGGAGAATGGAGGCACCTGCACAGGAAGGCTCCAGCTTCAAGGTACCCAGGGGCACCTGATGTGCCCATGCCGGGGCAGGGAGGGAAGGTCTTCTCTGGGGGTCTCTCTAGCCTGAAGTGGAGGGCGCTGTGTCCCACATGTCACCTGGAGCACCAGCATGCACAAGGGGCGAGAGATGAGGGTCGTGTAGTCCCCACTGAGGGCTTGGTGCGTGTGACAGGAGAACGTGTATTTGCACACGCACGTGCGTGTGCGAGTGTGTCCGAAGGGGCCGTCGCCCTGCTCCTGCTGTGTCTGGCTCGAGGCTTCTCGGATCCCGAGTGCCCACATTCACCCCAGTGCATCCGGGGCCCTCTTCCCAGGTGGCTGGACCCTGCCCCTATCTCAGGAAGCCCTGGGGGCTCTCACTGGTCCTCCAGATCCCCATCTTCAGGGCCTCCCCTTTTCCTGCCCTGATAGCCCCAGCTGGGGCAGAAGGGGGCTGGTCTGGGCTACATGTGTGGGGGAGGGTAAACATGGTTCCTGGATTCAGAGAGAACCTTCTGGAGCTCCTCTTGCCTAACCTATAACACACAGCTGAGGCTCCTACCTCACCCGTGAAGGCCCGCTCTGATCATGGGGGACACGCATGTGAGCGGAGCTCTGTGCATGTGAGAGCCACCATTAGCACCCTGTGCCGGTACCTGCTCCTGGCCAGGCACGAGGGAGGCCCGCAAACCTGAAGCTGGGAAGGGAGGCCAACCTACCCACACCTGTACCTATGGCCCTGCGAAGCCGTACCTACAGCCTGCTCCAACATGCAGGTTCCCGGAGCTCACGGGAGCAGCCTGTTTGGGTGTACCAGGCCGGGCGTGTGCTGGCAGATGCTTATCCGCTGCCCCTGGCTCAGCCCCCTCCCCAGGTGCCTCAGGAGGGGGCCAGAGGTCAGGAGGCCATACCCTGGGTGCAAGAAGGCCTAGTGATTCAGATCAAGATGCGGACAATGTGGAGAGTCCACCGGAAGCCCATGCGGTGACTCAGCACATGTTCAGGGCTCACAGGCCTGGCCTAATCAGGGTCCCATGTCCCTGTGTGCCGGAGGAACTGGGGGTCTGGGGGCCCTGGTCTGTGGCTCTCCTTGTCTGGGGCCCTCAGGTCCCCACCACTGGCTGGCCCACTGACCCCTGCCTGCTCTTCCTGAAGCCCAAGGTCCACAAACAGGGCTTCGCTGGGGACACAACTTGGTAGATGACGCCTCGCCGTGGGCCCACGGCACTGAGCGACACTCAGGCCTGACCCTTGGCCCAGACGTGGCCGAGCAGCCTGCTTCTGTCCATCCCAATCAAATGCGGCCGTACTGGCCACTGAGGGTTGGTAGAGGCCGTTGGGGCCCAGAGTTTGGTCTTTCCAGGGCCCCAGACTTTCCACATTGGCTCTGGGCCAAGGACACAACCCAGACAAGCAGGCCACCTGGCCTGCCCCTCCCCCAGAGGCCCCTGCCCCACTTGGGGGACAGTTAGCAGAGACCCACCCAGCCTCAAGCCAGCCTGCAAACAATTTCAGGCAGGGCTTAAACACCATACCCTCCACTGTCCCCATCCCCACCAGCCAGACCCAGCTCTGGCTGCGATGAGGCATGCCTGAGGAGGCCGCCTGGTGCCCGGCCAGGGGTGGGGGGGGGGGGGGGGGGGGATGGCTGCAGGACTGGTCCCGAGCCTCTGATAGGGACCTCTTTCAAGCATCAGCAGGCTGGGCTGTGCCATAGGCGGCCGAGGGACACAACTGTCCCTAGAGTTCCCGGGGACAGAGAATGGAAGTCCTCCCAGCCTGGGGTGAGGAGGCCTGAGTGGGAGTCAGGCCAGGCACCAGGCAGGGGCCACACCAAAGCTTGCTTCTTGGGCGCAGGCAGGAGCTATGGCCCAGGCATCCGGTGGCTCCCCAGAGTCCCATGATGCCCAGCTGCCCCCGCCACCTCAGCCCGAGATCGAGGAGGGGCAAGGGGAGGGGCTTGTGGAGCTGCACGCCTCCTTCCGGGAGCTGTTCACCTTCTTCTGCACCAACGCCACCATCCATGGCGCCATCCGCCTCGTCTGCTCCAGCCAGAACCGCCTCAAGACGGCATCCTGGGGGCTGCTGTTCCTGGGTGCCCTGGGCGCACTCGACTGGCAGTTTGGGCTCCTCTTTGAGCAGTACTGGAGCTACCCGGTCATCATGACCGTGTCCGTGCACTCGGAGCGAAAGCTCTTCCCGTCGGTCACTCTGTGTGACATGAACCCACACAGGTGAGGGTTCCTGACTCCTCACCTCTGCAGCCCGCGGGTGTCTCCCCAGGCGTGGTCACAGTGGAAGCTCCACTGGCTCAGGAACCCTGAGCCTCTGGTTGGGGAGTGGGGGGTGGGACGGGTACCAGACAAGGAAGAGCCAGTTGGAGCTTGCAGTGGTCAGTGTCACCCAGACACCCAGGTGCTGGGCCGCCTGGAGCAAGGGTTCGGGTCGGGGGGTACCGGAGAAGAGAGCAGGATAACATTCCAGGTGGGGAGGCAGAGGGGGCAAAGAGGGGGGGAGCAGTGGCTGTGCCGGAAGGTTGGTGGAGTGCACACGGGCTCCAGGCCAGGCTGGGGGCGGGGGGGGGGGGCTGACCTCACTCTGCAGCCCAGTTTGAAGCTCAGGCTTCCCGAGGATGGGGCGAGGCCGCTGTCCCCAGCGGTAACCCCGTGACTGATGCGGGGGACTTTAGGGGGTGGCCCTGGCTCAGCTCACCCCTCTCCCTCGCCCTGACCTCTCCACCCGCCAGGCCGAGCTCAGTCCGCCACCATCTGCAGGCACTCGATCGGTTCGCCCGGGAGAACATCCGCTCTCTCTACAAATTCAACTTCAGCGAGGACGGGGATGTCCCCTTTGCCGACGACCAGGGCCCACGGCCTGCCTTCTACCTGGACCACAGCGTCCGTCTGCAGAGGCTGAGCCACCCAGATGGCCAGAGCAGAGTGGGTTTCAGACTGGTGAGTGTCCCTAGGCCTGAAAGGTCCTGGCGAGCCGTCATTCTGCAGGGCTCTGCATTGGGCGTGGGCAGGCAGGGAGGCTGTGCTGTGCTGACCCCATGCCCCTCAGTGTAACAGCACAGGCGGAGACTGCTTCTACCGGGCCTTCTCGTCAGGTGTGACAGCCGCCCGAGAATGGTACCGCTTCCACTATGTGAGCATCTTGGCCCTGCTGCCCGCTGCCCACGAGGACAGCCACCAGAGCCACGGTGGCCACTTTGTCTTCTCTTGCCAATTCGACGGCCGGGACTGCCAGGCCCGGTGAGTAGGGGTGGGGCGGGCGGGTGGCTGCTCCCCTCGCTCCACCCTGCAGATATGGGTGCCACCGCTGAGTTTCCTCCAGAGATGACGCAGGTCAGAGTCCCTCAGGCCACATGCAGTGGGGTCATGGGTCAGAGGAGGGTGCTGGTCTGAGTGTGGCTCCTGGCTCCAGGCACTTCCAGACGTTCCACCACCCCACCTATGGCAGCTGCTATACCTTCAATGGTGTCTGGGCTGCGCAGCGCCCGGGCATCACCCATGGTGAGTGCCAGCCGCAGGCGGAGTAGGGGAGAAGGCATCCTGGCCAGCCTGGCCTCACCCCGCTTCTTCCCCCAGGAATCAGCCTGGTCCTCAGGACTGAGCAGCAGGACCACCTCCCGCTGCTGTCCACGGAGGCTGGCATCAAAGTCATGATTCATGAACGTGACCACACACCTTTCCTGGAACACCAGGGTTTCAGCATCCGGCCAGGGACCGAGACCACCATCGGCATCCGAGAGGTGGGTGCGCCCCGTCCCCCCCACTCCGCACTTGCCTGCCCAACCCTGGGGCCTCAAGGGCCGGGACAAGAGTGGGACTGTAGCGTTCTCCCTCCCCCAGGACGAGGTGCGCCGGCTGGGGAGCCCCTATAGTCACTGCACCGACGGTGTGGAGGGTGTGGGTGGGCAGCTGCTGTACAATGCCTCCTATACCCTGCAGGTGAGTCTGGGGCCATGGGGTGGGAGGAAGGGAGCGTCTCAGGGAGGACCCAGGGGAGGCCGGGGGAGAGGACGGTCAGGAGAGGAAGTTGGGGGGGGGGGACGAAATGGGGAGAGGCGGGTAGGGCTGGGGTAAGGGGGGAGGGGGTGATGGAGGAAGGCCCAGGGAAGGCAGGTGCGCTGCTGAGAAGGAGCTGAGCCAGGACCTCCTGCACGCTCTGGCGGAGGGATGGCTGCCTCTGGAACCTTCAGCCCGTGTCCCCTGCTGTCCCCCCAGGCCTGCCTGGTATCCTGTTTCCAGCAGCTCATGGTGGAGACCTGCTCCTGCGGCTACTACTTCTACCCTCTGCCGGCAGGGGCCCAGTACTGCAGCTACTCCCGGCACCCAGCCTGGGGTGAGACCCGCCCCGCCCCGTTCCGCCCCGCCCCGCCCCATTCCGCTCCGTTCCGCCTTGCCCCCTCCGTCCCGCCCTGCCCTCTCCTCCCTCCCAACCCGCCCGTTCCACCCCGCCCCTTTCCGCCCCACCCCGCCCGCTCGCGTCCGCCCCGCCCCGTTCCGCCCTGCCCGCCCCACCCCGCCCCACCCCGCCCTGCCCCGCCCAGTTCGCTCCACCCCGCCCCTTTCCGCCCGCCCCGCCACGCCCCCCTCCGCCACGCCCTCCCCTGGGGGTGGAAGGAGGTCAGGCCTGGTCAACCTAGAAAGCTCTCCTCCACGCCACCCTGGGTCGGGGTGATGGGTTCATCTGTGACACCCCCCCCCACCTCTGCAGGCCACTGCTTCTACCGCCTCTACAGGGACCTGGGGACACACCGACTTCCTTGTGCCTCCCGCTGCCCCAGGTCCTGCAGGTGAGTGGCAAGTGTTGGGGTTCAGGGTCAGGGGTCACTGCCATAGCACGACAGCAGGAGTGTTATGGGGATCTGCCTCTCCTAGGGAGTCTTCCTACAAGCTCTCTGCCGGGACCTCGAGGTGGCCTTCCTCCAAGTCAGCTGTGAGTCCGCTGAAGGGGTGGGGTGAGGGGCTGACAAGCTGGTGGGCCTCACAGGTCCCAAAGAGCCCACCCTGGACCAGGCTGTACCCCTGCTCTTACCCCTGCCCCACAGCACCCTGAGGGCTGGGAGGAGCAGTGGCCACAACGAGGCTTCTGTGTGCAGGACTGGATCCTGGCTGTGCTGGGCAAGCCAGGCCGCAGGAGCTCAAGCCAGAGCAAGAGCCCAAGCCCAAGCCTCAGGTGGGTGCACTCCTCCTCCTCCAGAGGTCTCGCCCGGGCCCCTCCCCCTGACAGCCTTGCCCTTCTGGGCCCCAAGGAGGAGCCCTGCCCCTCACACCTCTGCCTTGCCCCAGGAGCAACATGGCCAAGGTGAACATCTTCTACCAGGAGCTCAACTACCGAACAGTGGAGGAGACACCCGTTTACTCGGTGAGCCAGCCAAGAACCAAGAGCTGTGGTGGGGGCAGGACCAGCCCTGGTCAGACCCCCTGGGGCCCGGCCATGGCGCAGCCCTGTGCACCTGCTCACAGCCCACTGATGCCTGCAGGTGCCCGAGCTGCTCTCAGCCATGGGCAGCCTCTGGAGCCTGTGGTTCGGCTCATCTGTCCTCTCTGTCCTGGAGCTGTTGGAGCTGCTGCTCGATGCCGTAGCCCTCACACTGCTACTGGGCTGCCGCCGGCTCCGCAGAACTCAGGGGTCCCAGACAGGGGCAGCCACAGTGGCGTCCCACGCCCAGCCGGAGGCCAGCCAGTTGCCCACTGACTGCAGGAACGATGTTAATCATCTGGGGGGCCCTGCTGGCCTCTTCTCCCATGCCGCTTCTGGGAGCTGTGGCAGGAATCTTTGCTGAAGTTAGGCCAAGTGAGAGCCCCAGCCTCCTGACACCTGAACCAGCCTGAGCTTGTTCTGACCCTGAGGAATATGGGAGCGGTGGGCTCTCCTGGCTGCCCAGAGTGAACCAGACCAGCCCCACAGAGCCGCCACCAGGCACCCAAGCCAAGCCCAGGGCCCAGGAAGCAGCAGCACGGAGCCCACAGGCAGGCAGGCGGGCACCAGGGTGCCCAGCCCATTGGGCCCTCTCATCAGCCCAGTGGTGGCCCAGGGGTGGCCCCACTCAAGGAGGCCCAGGCAGGGGGGAGGGGAGCGTCCCCACCACTCTGGATTCCTGCGTCTAGTCTGTACGTACCCGTGAGTGTGTGCATGCAAGGGGGTGGGGGGTACCTCCACATGGGAGTGTGCCTGTGTTTGGTGTCACTGTCATGTAAAAACGTACGTGTGCTTCTGAGTGTGCCAACATATCTGTCTACACCTATGTGTAGGTGTGTGCGGGCATCAGGCAGAGCCTTCCTTAACTCAGGACAGGTGGAAGGAAGGGTAGGGCCAGGCCAAGGTAACCTTGGTGACCTTGGGCTGCTTTGTAATAAAACTTGTGATCTCACCTGGTGGCCGAGTGTGTGCACCTCCCCAGTCACCCTTCCTGAGTAAGCTGGAACCCCCAGGCTGCACCACCACACCCCTCAGAGCCACAGACATGCTGTGGGGGCCAGGGGGCAGGAGGGCAGCTGTGCCCACAGCTAGCTTGCAGAGCCAGGGCTTGCCCAGGAGACAAGACCGGACCCAGATCACCCCCACCGCTTTGCATCCACTCCTACTCCCTCCAGGTGCCACAGTCCAGGCCAGAGAAAGGCGGAGGGCCCAGGGAATGGGGCCTGTTGGTGTTGGGAGTCGGTTTCCATCAAAGAGGCCACAGGTCCCCAGCAGGTCCCCAGCAGTCAGAGGCTGGGTTCTGACTTACTGTGTCCTTTGGGGGCACTGGTGCTACCCCACTCAGGGCCACCCCTTGGAGAAGGCAGGTGACCCGGAGACACCCCCTCCCCAGCTGAGACAGAGTGGAGTGAGGCGGGTGAGCCAATGACAGGCAGGGGTGCAAGCAGCAGTTTATTAACTGTGATCTGGAGCAGGGGGCGGGTCCTGCCAGCCCGAGGCCCTGATGCAGGTGGTGGGGTGGGAGGTGGGGGCAGAGCTCAAGCAGGGAGAAAGGAGGGAGTTAATTCTGCTCTGTAGGGGTCACGGCCAACAGGCAAGGGAGATGGGGGGGCACTTAGTCAGCACCCACCTTGCCGCCAATGGAGCCTCCCTGGACAGTTTTTGCATAGTGACCGGCCAACTGGCCTTGGCCTGACCAAGGATGTAAGTTGGGGAGAGGCCCAGCCACTGCCCCAGGGCTCCAGGAAAGGGGAATGCAGAGCGAACACCTTGGTGGGCCCTGGGGAGTGAGCTGAGGGACCCCTGGGCCCATCCAAGGGCCCAGCTAGAGGAGCGAGGCAGGTGAGGGGCAGAACAGAGCTGCAGGAGCCCCCCCTTCCCCCCCCCCCCAGCAGCAGGCAGAGCCGGGCCCGTCCAGGTGGCCCTCAAGAGTCCACAGAGAAAAGACACAAGACAAAGTGAGAAAGAGATCGTTGTAGAAAATCCGCTCGGTCTGTGACAAAGAATGTCAGATGCAGGGGCGGAAAGTGCCAAAGTCCTTTATGCACCGGCTCTGGGCCAAGCGCCTCTGGAGGAGGCAGAGACAGGTCTCGGGCTGCCCAGGACTGGGGCCTGCGTGGCCAGCCACATGGCCTCGGGACGCCCGCGTCCAGCCAGGGCTGAGGCCCCAGGCCACAGCCCCCCCCCCCCCCAGCACCCGAGAAGCCCAGCCTGGATGCCGGTCACTAAGTGAGGTACACGGGTTGATTCCCTGGATGGGCTGTCCCCTTCTGCCCTTGAAAGGCGCTGGTGGCCAGCCACCAGCCCCAAGGCCTAGCAGAGGGGCTCTGGGGGTGTGTAGGAGGGACCCAACTAGCAGGTCAGTGTTCCATGGCAGTAAAGGTGGGGGCACGAGGTGACACCGGCCCCAGAGCGGGGGAGGGAGGGTGGTTCTGAGGGGCACAAGGTGACACGGGGCCTTGAGAGTGGTTTGTGACATGAGCGACCCGGGCTCCCGAGGAAGGGGCCACCTGAAGACGGAGGGTCCCCGGGTGCGGCGAGGGGCATCAGATGATGCAGCACCTCCCAGGGGGAAACGTGGGGCTTCAGAAGACCCCGTGCTGGGGTCCCTCTCACGGCCCTGGGGGTCGGGCAGCTCCCGGGAGGGCAGAGCAGGCAGCTGGGGCTCCAGGGAATGGCCGGGGCGTCCCGGGCAGGGCAGGGGCCTGGCCGCCCTAGCTCTCCTCCAGGTGGAGGCTGATGAACTCCTGGATGCACCTGCGGTACTGGAGCTCCGTGGGGCTGCTGCCCGCCAGGGGGCCCGGCTGGCCCGGGGGCGCCTCCGCCTCTCGCATCTCCTCAGCCATGCGGGCCAGCCGGAGCCTGGGGGAGGCGCGGCGGCGTGAGGTGTGGAGGGGCGGGGAGGGCGAGAGCGGGACGCGCTCCTTCCCCCAGAGCCCCCAGCCTTCGCGCCCCACCCCCGACGGCCCCGTCAGCGCTCACAAAGTGACGATGTCCGCGTTTGCCTCCTGGATCGCGATGCTCAGTGGGTCCTGCTGCTTGTGGTCCAAGGCGTGCTGGTCGGCCCCCCGCTTCAAGAACAGGCAGACCTGACTGAAGAAGGGTGGAGGGGACGGGTCGGGGCTGGCCAGGGGTGGGAGGAGGTGGCCCCAGCCCCCCTTCCCTGGGCGGGCAGGAGGGGCGCCAGAGACTCACCCTGTGCGTCCCAGGAGTGTGGCGTGGTGCAGCGGCGCCCTGCCCCGGCTGTCTCTTTGGTTCACGTCTGCTCCGTTTTGCAGAAGGAATTCACAGACAATCAAGGAGCCCTGGGGAGCCGAGTACAGTCAGGTTAAGCTGAGGAAATGGCTCCTCTCTGATCTCGGGGGGGGGGGGCCGGCGCGGGGCGCGGGCACAAGGGGCCCTTGTGTGGGCACCAGAAGAAAGCGGGCTCTGAAGATGCACCTGTGCCCTGTGCCACCCCCCTGCGCCTGCTCACCCCCAGCACAGCCTGCACCAAAGGCGTCTTGCCCTCGTCCTCCGCGTCGGCCCAGTTGACCTCTGCCCCGTGCGCCAGCGCCATGGCCAGCGCTCGGAGGTCTCGGGTTCGCGCCGCTCGGTGCGCCAGTAGACCAGGGTGCAGCTCGCGCACGTCCGCCAGACCCCAGGCCTCTGCTTCTCCATCCGCCTCCCCGCTGGACTCCTCCGACTCTGCACCCTCTACGGGGAGAGGTGCTGCGGTCAGGGGCTGTGACCAGGCCAGGGGTGCGGCTGGGGAGGGCCGGGGCGGGGACGGGGTGGCGGGGGGGGGGGGGGAGAGGGCGCACACCCACCCTCCTCAGTGACGCTGTCCACAACAGAGCCTCCGCCAAAGGCTAGAACGTCAGAGCTGCCATCAGAGCTGCCTCCTAAGCCACTGTCGCTGCTCAGACCTGCGGGGTCCGGGGACAGAGGGGGTCCTTAGAGCTCCTGACTCCTGCTGGAGCCCTGTGGGAAGGCTGGAAGCCCCATCCATCCTCCAGGGACAGGATCTGCTGCCACGAGGGGAGGGGAGCCCTGCCTAGGATGGGGGGTGGGGTGGGGAGGGGAGAAAACCAAGGAAGGGCTCAAAGGAGCCAAAGTAACGCATCAGAGAGCACAACTCCAGGGGAAGCCACCCCCCACCCCCCAGCAGGTCAGCCCTGGCAGGATGGATGGGCGGAAGCATGACCATGCACAGAGGATATTCAGCCCTGTCTGTGCTGAGTGCACCCTGGGAGGTCACTGTGCAGCAAGGGGTCTTTGCCAAGCCCTGGGACACCCCCACCTCCTCTCCCCCTCCCCAACTATGCTGAGTGAAATCTCAGCTGGCTTACCCAAGGGCAGCCCCAGGCTTAGGAATGGTGAGGCAGCGCCCTCTGCCGCCTGAGGGCATGCCCTTGTCACCCCCAGCACCCCTGTCTGTTCTTGGCCTGGGTCCACGCCTTCTGCCTACACTGCCCAGAAAGGCTCTACAAGTGCTCCAGACCACTGGGTGCTGGTAAATCGTTAACAGGAAGCCCTTGGCGGGAAACCCTGCTTGTAGCATGTGGCCCCCAACTCCAAGAGCGGCTGGGAAGGGTGCACAGTTCTCTCACGGGCTGGCTCCAGCACACAGCTGTCCAGGCCCCCAGCATGCACATGCGCGCGCGCACACACACGTACCTATATGCCTATGCGCACATCCAGCCACACGCCCACATACACTCCAATGTGCGCACCGCGCACACAATTCATACACATCACTCTCAAGGATCAGGACCTCGGTCTCCAAGTCAGTGGCCAAGTAACCCCAGACCCTTGAGATGCTATCTCAACCTTATCCCTGCTTGACCCCTAAATTCTCCCCAGCCCCAGCCCAGTCCTTCCTGCAAAAAACGCCTGTCCCTCTGGTCTCCGAGCACATGGCTAAGGCTGTCCACACTCATCCACCTCAAGATGAGCATGCCTGGCCCTGCTCTGCTGGCCTCACTGAGGGGAGTCGGGTGACAGGGGCCAGGGCCCTCACGGCACTTACTCCGTGGACCGGCTGCAGCAGCTCCAGCATCGAAGTAGGAGAAGAGGGAGTCCAGCTCATCCGGGCAGAAGAGAGAGTCCCTCCGGAACTTGCGCTCCACAGCACCTGCTGCGGGGAGGTGGGGAGACTGAGACCCAAGGCGAGGTAGGGTGCCCAAGTCATGCTGGTAGTCCCTGCCTCCCTCCTCCTCCATGCTGGAGCCCATCCCCAACTCTGCATGGGCACGTGAGCTAAGGGAGCAGCCTGCTGGCACCTGAGGACAGAGCAGCCACAGAGGGCAGGATGGGCTCCAGCCGGACCTTGCGGCGGGCAGCAGGGACCCGGGGGGAGCTGTGGTGGCGCTGGCACTTTTGCGCCCTCCAGGGCCGGGGGACGTCCCGGGCTGGTGCAGACGGTGGCTTCCGCAGGAACTTCTTTTCCACATACTTGTCCTTGATCCAGGCCTCCTTGTCCTGCCTGCACCAGGGATGGCCATGAGGCTGCACCGCGTGGGTGGGGGCTGCCCTGGCCCCGTCTAGGCTGCCCCCCCCAACCTCACCTAGGGCTGCTGGCTGTGGGCTTCCTGCCACCTGGCCCCTCACACTGAGCCTCGTAGATCTGGTTCACGGTGCTGTTTCCAAGCTCACACATCAGCTAGCAGGAGAAGGGGTGTACAGCATCAGCCCCAGGTCATGCCCCTCCTTCTCACCCCCACCCCCAGGCTTGCAGACCCGGCTCCTGCAGCCACCACCCCCTGCCAACGGTCTGAGGTGGCCTCCATACATACCTTCAGCAGCTCTGGCTCCCATGAGTCCAGGGTCAGGGACCGCACCTTGGAGCAGTGGACACCCAGGCTCCTGGGAGGTGAGGAGGCAGGGGTGAGTCAGGGCGTGGCTCTACCCCAGCACCTCAGCCCCAGCCCACCCAGTGGGCGCACCTGTGGATGCCGGAGCACTCGATGCAGAGCAGCACCCCCAGGTTGATGCTGGCCCAGCGGGGATCCGGCTGGCCACAGTCCCCACACTGGCTATTGCCAGCCACGTTCTGCACACGCTGCAGCACGCTCTCGCCCTTGACGCTGCGCTCCCGCGAGTCCGTAGCAGAGTCGATGCTGCTCGTGGACGGAGACGCCGTGCGGTCCAGCCTCTGGGGATGGTGTGAGGGGCCACTCAGCCTTCAGGAGTTCCAGCCTCGATCACCCCGGTGGGCCCCCTCTCCCCCCCCACCCAGAGATGCCGGCACAGGCTAGGACGCCTGAAGCGTAAGCCTGCGTGTCCGTGTGTGCACGCATACTCACACGCACGTACACACGACGCGCACACCTACGTGTGCATGAGCACGTGCTCACACTCACATGCACGCTTGCATGCAGCCTGCAGGGGCTGCCTCTCTGCAGCACGCAGGCACGTGTGCACACACGTGGAGGGTCCCGAGAGGGCCGCACCTCACTGTAGCAGCTGTCCGGGCTCTCCCGGTAGGCAGAGGCGATGCTGGCCTGCACAGCTTGAACCCAGGCCTGCCGCAGCTTCTCTGAGTCGGCCTGCAGCATGCAGCTCCTAGGGGAAGGGGACCATCAGGCCGGGCGGGCGGAAGGGCTCCCTCCCCCACCCCGCCCCGGGTTGGGCCTCCTCACTTGGTGGGTGACACGACCTCAAAACAGAACCTCCGTTCGATGTCCTCACATGGCTTCACGGAGCACAGACGGAGGTCATCCACCACCACGGTGAGCACGTCCTGCGGGCGGCACCACCGGGGCCCTTGCGCTCAGCACGCAGGCCTGGCCCTGCGCTGACCACCCATTTATCGTTCCATTTTAGAGACACAGACCATCTGAGACCCAGGTGGTCTCTGCCCTCGGGCGGCCCATTCAGGCTCAGTGTCCTCAACCCTGTGCAACCCCCGCCGCCCAGCCCGCCCCGGGGTCCAGGCGGGGAGGGGCCCGGCTGTCACTGACCCAGCCCCAGCAGCCCTGAAGCGCACCTTGAGTTTCTTCTGGTAGACCAGCTGGCTGTTCTGGATGGAGAACCAGCGCCTGGGCAGGTGGATGGGCCAGGAGGGGGTCAGGCAGGGCCAGTCCCCTGTCTAACCCCGCAGACCCCCTGAGCAGGCCCCTCCCTCACCGGTTCCACGTCTTGAAGGCATTACTGGCCCTCTTGAAGAGGTAGCCCTCCATCACCACACCGCTGGGCGCGTCCACATCAAACTCCACTTTGGGCTCATCGTAGGAGAAGTCCTGGGGGTGGTTGGAGCCCAGCCCCCAGTGAGTGCCCGGCCTGGCTGCGAGGACACTGCTGCCCTGCCAGGCTCCCCCAGAGCCAACGCTGAGGTGGGGCACTCCTCTGACCCCAGCACGGACCTTCACCCTGAAACCCCACTGAGGGCAGACGCCTCACACTACAGCTGAGGGCCCCAGCCCACACCCCCAGCCTTGTGGGGCCAGCAGGCTCTGGGATCAGGAAGGAAGCTTCCTGCCCCCATCCTGAGTCCCCCATTCATGTTGCCAGCTGGGCCTGCTCCAGCCAGCCTGACAGAGAGCTCCATTCACAGAGACTGAGGAGACACTGGGTGTTGTCCTGTGTGTCCGGCGGCAGGAGAGGAGGCCCGGCCACCTGCTCCCCTGGCTGAGTGGGGGCAGAAAGGGACAGCTGCTGCTGTTCCCGCGGGGGATGCAGTCCAGCTCAGCCCAAGTCCCCGCTGGTGCCAGCCGCCGCCGCATGCTCGCAGCAAAGTGAGGTGTCCTTGGTGCTGAAGCTCTGCGGGGCGGGGGAGGGCAGAGGCCCCGCCCTGCCTGCTCAACTGCTCCCCCCCCATTCCCTCCCCCAGGGCACTCCCACTCACCTGCAGCAGCGTCTGAGGGGGCCAGGAGCAGGAGGGGGTGCAAAGAGGGAGAGAGAGAGCCGATGAGTGGGCTCCCAGTGGTCTGGGAACAGTCACTCCTACCTGCAGCCCACCTCTACCCTGGGGCTGTCTGGGCAAGAGCCAGCAACTGAGGCCTCAGAGACCACCACTGGCCTCAAAGGAAGGAAACCCCGGGTCCCCGCTCTAGCCCCAGCCCCAGCATCTGGAACCCGGATGGGCTGGCTCCCCTGCCCACCCAGGCCTGGCCTCTAAGTGACCCCTAAGTGACCGATGCCCCTTCTACTCTGCCGTTTGAGGCTCCTAAGAATGGAGACCTCTCTGGAGAGAGTGGGCATCTCAGTCGGCTCAGTCGTTAAGTATCCGACTTCAGCTCAGGTCATGACCTCACGGGTTCGTGAGTTCAAGCCCTGTGTCAGGCTCTGTGCTGGCAGCTCGGAGCCTGGAGCCTGCCTCGGATTCTGTGTCTCCCTCTCTCTGCCCCTCCCCCACTCGTGCTCTGTCTCTATCTCTCAAAAATAAATAAACGTTATGGGGCGCCTGGGTGGCGCAGTCGGTTAAGCGTCCGACTTCAGCCAGGTCACGATCTCGCAGTCCGTGAGTTCGAGCCCCGCGTCCGGCTCTGGGCTGATGGCTCAGAGCCTGGAGCCTGTTTCCGATTCTGTGTCTCCCTCTCTCTCTGCCCCTCCCCCATTCACACTCTGTCTCTCTCTGTCCCAAAAATAAATAAACGTTTAAAAATAAATAAATAAATAAATAAATAAATAAATAAACGTTAAAAAAAATTTAAAAAAAAAAAAACAGAGACCTCTCCTTCTGAGCACACATTTGTAAGCGAAGCAGCGTGGGCAGGCCTGGGGGAGAGGGGTACTGGCTTCTTGGGGTCCCCCTTCCATGCACGGAGGTCAGGGGGTGCAGGGCCTCACCCGCTGCTGGATGGCAGCATGCTTTCGCTCCATCTCACGCTTTTCCACTGCCGAGTCGATCACCAGCTGGTCTAGCTGTGGGGGAGGGGCACCAGGGAGGGGCATGAACATTCTTCCTGAGACCCGGGTCTTGGGTCTCGCCCCACCCCGCGGGCTCACCTCGGCTGCCAGCTTCTTCATGTAGGGGTCCAGCTGGTGCAGCAGGCTATAGCCCTGCTGGAAGAAGCTGTGCTGGGCGTGCATGAAGGACAGCATCTGTAGGCAGGGGCGGGGGGGCACAGGTGGGACCAGGCCCCCAGGGGCCCAGCAGGTGCACTCACATCCCCTGCACCTCACGGCCTGTACTCAAGGCTAATGCCCCCCCACCCCTACCAACCAGTCACTCACAGAATCCAAGATCTCAAACTTCTTCTTGGCCTGGAGTACGTTGATCTGCCAGGGGAGGGGTGAACGGGTGAAGGGTGTCAGGGACGAGGCAGCCCATGGACTGTCCCTTACCGCAGAGTCCTCTCAGGCTTGCTTGTGGTTCCCCGAGACCCCCAGCTCATCTTCAGCCCCCTGCACTTGTGCCAGCCTCACCCTCCCGTGGTCAAGGAGTCCCTCCCCACGTCAGGACCGTGGGTTCCTCCCACGGGCAAAGCCAGAAATTCTCAGACCTGCTCCCAGGCCTTCCAAGGCCCCCTCTGCAAGATCTTCAAGGCCACAGCCCCACCCCTGTCCCCGGCCCACCCTTGCCTGGGCACCCCGCCACCCTGTCCGTTCCCAAGATCCGGCATCTCGGGTTTTCTGGAGGCAGAGGGGACCCTCCGAGCAACAGCTCTGTCTGTCTGTCTGTCTGTCTGTCGGAATACAGAGCGGCCTCCACCCCCTTCCAGGCCACAACTGCTCTGTGCCCAGCTGCTGACCTGGAGCACATAGTCTAGTGCCAGGTGACGGAAACACTTCCGGGTGAGGGTCAAGGCACCTGTGGCCTCCTCCACCTCGTGGGGCCGGTGCCGTGGGGCCTGGGCATTCCTCACGAGGGACAGCTCCATGTCCTCCCGAACTTTGTCAAACTGTTTCTTGGTCTCCTTGAATTTCCGCACGTCCCTGAGGGCCAGCAGGTGTCAGGCCAGGGTCTTGGGAGGGGTGCATGTAGGATCTCCCACGTCCATGAAATGCTCTCCCTCTACTTGTGCCCACTCTGTGCCCCCAGACAGGGCCTCCCTTCCCCACCTGCCAGTCCCAGCACCCCACCCCCCCGTTACGGCTCTCCTCCTCCTCCTCCTCCTCTCCCACCAGGGCCCGTCCCATGATCCAGGGCCTCCCCCTGCCCTTTACCACCTCACTCCCAGGACCAGTCCAGCCTAGGGAGACCCTCTGCCTCACCCTGGACCCCAGACTCAAACTCAGATTCAATTCTACATCTTCACCTGGGGGTGCCACAGGCACCCCAACTGCACATGAGGCATAGAGGTCAGGCCTCAGTGCAGCCCCCACCCCTCCCACAACCTTAATGCCTTCTATAGCCCACCCTCACTCCTTGCCCAAGGCCCTCCTGGCTACCCTGTGTGCACCTTGACCCCTCACCCTGCCCTCCAGGCACTGTTTCCTTGACCCCAGGCCTGTCCTGCCTCCAAGCCTTGGCTCCTGCCGAGTCCCCCACCCACAGTCTTGAAGGCAGGCCCCAGGATCCCCCCTCCCAATCAGGCGTAGCTGTACCTGCTCCCTGTGCTACCACAGGTGCTACTACCAGCCCCTCCCAGGGCCAGCAGAGGCCAGGCCTCCCACAGGGCTCTGGGGGCCACTCACTCTTTGACGAAGTTGTGCAGTTGCTGCCGCACAGACCTCTGGGCCTGGTCAAACAGGATCTGTGGGCCAAGGTGGGGGCGGTGGGGTTAGGGCTCCAGGGACCAAGCCCCTGTCACTGCAGATGAGGACCAGGGAAAGCCCCGCCCAGCCCTGCTTGGGCTCCAGCTGTTTGCCCCCCCAGAGCCAGCCTCACAGGGTCCAGGGACTGGGCGTGGCCCCAGGCCTGGGTTGATGCCCAGAGGCCACAGCTGTGCCCACCTGCCCATCTCCCCCACCGGGCTCTCAGCCAGACTAGAGACCAGAGCACCACCCCATGCCAACTCAGGGCAGGCATACACAAGACACGGCCTCCCGGCCCTGGGAGGCCACCTCAAGGATGGCCAGGCCTACAGGAGAAAGAACAGGATTAGAGCCCAGAGCTTCCAAGGGACTCGACCTAGGAACAGGTCAGGGGTCCCTACAGCGCTGACCAGACCCATAGTCAGATCCCTCCCAACATGGGAGGAGGGCTGGGCCCTAAATGGGAACAGACAGACTGACAGACAGTGCAGAATGAGCTATCCTGAGCTGGTTTATTTCTAAACTTCCCCTGCAGGGGTGGGGCTCCTTGTTTAGTCTGGGATCTGGTTCCCAAGCCAGGGTCTGACCACCCACATGTGCCTTGGGCCCTATTCTGTGTGTCCTGTGCTGGGGGCTCTGAAGGGCTTGAGGTCACCAGACCCAGCCTGGGTAGCAATGAGATTGGCAGTTAACCAGGGGACGTGGGGTCAGCCTAGGAGATACTTGTGCCGCCTGGCCAGAGACCCCTGCTCAACTGGGGGACCCTGGACCAGCCTCTGAGACCCCATTGCCCTCAGGCCTCGACTATGCTGCCACCTCCTCCCACCCCCAGGGTCCAAATAACCTCCCCACTGCCTGGCCCTCACCTGGGACACAGCAGAGCACCTCAGTGATGTTCCCCCCACCCCCACAGACTGGAAGAATAGGAACGTGGCTTCCCAGCAGCCCGCCAGCTCAGCTCCCTCTGAGCCAGCTGACAGCCATTCCAGGCTGGGCGGGGCCTGCGGGGAGCCGGCGGGGGGGGGGGGGGGCGCCTGGGATGGGAAGCCAGAGGGATGTGCCCTTGGACAGGCCCCCATACATCACCGCACTGTGGCCAGGGCTTACCATGTGGTAGTTGACCATCTCCTGCAGGCTGTCTCCAAACCTCTGCAGACATTCCTAGGGGGAGGCGGGGCAGGGGAGACCCCTTGCTCAGATGAGACAGCTGTGTTCCCAGGGTGGCTGGCACCTCCACCCACAGGTATCCGAGCCGCCCACCCCTGCGGCCCAGCACAGATGCCCACCTGCTCCCAGGGCCTGGGCATAGTCAAGGGGCTGCCTGCCTGTGCCACCCCTGTCTAGAGGTCAGAGATCAGCCGCCCCCTCACCGAGATGACGGTGTCGCCCTGGCACTGCTGGGACAGGTCTCGAACACCACTCACGAAGAGCCTGTTGGTCGTGACATAGGCCTTGCCAGCTTCGATCATGCCACTGCACAGCTTGACCAGCTACGGATGACGGAAGGAGCCACATTCTCATGGCCTGCAAGGGGCGGCCCTCGCCTCCTCCAAGAGATCAGGCCACAGAGGCGGGAGCCCCCCAGGGCCCATCGGGGCCCGGGACGCAGCCATGTGAGCCAGCCCTCCCTGTGACCCACCTGGAGCCGGGAGGGCAGCAAGGTGGCGGGTGGGTCTTGGCTCCAGAGCAGAAGGCTGGAGCAGGACAGCGAAGCCCAGACTGGGGAACCCAGGGCCCAGGTGGGCATGTGGTCCTAGCCAGGGGGCTGGCAGGACCAGCCAGTGAGGGTGCTCAGGGATGCTACCCCTCCCTCCTCCCTCTTCTCCTCCCCTGCCCCTGCCCTCGGGCCCCCAACCCAGCCACTCAATAGCACCCTCCCCACCCCGTCCCTAGTAACAATCCCCACCCCTCGCCCAAAAGATGGCAGCGGGGGACTCACCAAGGCCTACCCCCTCTTGACAGGAGACACACGTGTGCCGCACGCGCCCCCTGGGACAGGTATGATAGGTAGGGTACAGCCGGGGAGAACGAGGCACAAACCCAGAGGGAGGGGCCGAGCCCTGATCACACACGCACACAGACACACACACTCATACACGAGCCTGTGTGTGAGCCAGGTCAGGGCCAGGCACGGGGGCAGAGAGAGCAGCCCAGGACCCTCCATTCACCCCTGGGCCCCGCCTTCACCTTGTCTAGTTTTGCCTCGATCTCCACCACGTCTGTTTCCACCTCGTCAATAGTAGCCCTGCAACAGGAACACAGGTGGCTGCAGGCCCGCCAAGCCACAGCGTCCCCAGCCCCACGTACCTCTCTGTGAGGGTCTGCAGTGAGAAGGGGCCACTCGGCTTAGGCCACCCGCTCCCCTCAGCCCACTCGCTGTCCTACGCTCCTCAGACATGCAGGAAATAGAAGCTGGCAAAGGCCGATGCCCCCTGGGCAGAGGGTGTGGGACTGGGACCCAGGTCCAGCTGACTCCAGAGCCGCCCAGCACCCACCACCACTCCCATCAGAGAGAGGCCCAGTCGGCTATGATGGCGGCTGGCTGCTGTGGCCCCAGGGAGAGAAGGTCATCAAGTCCCTGAGGACAGAAAGAGGGGCTGCTGGTCACCCTCCTGGCCCGGCCACTCCAGGGCTGAATTGACCCCAGATCCCACCTAGGTCCTATGGAGCCTGGGGCCAGCCAGTCTCAGGGCACGTAAGCATGGGCCAGCTAGCTGCTCTCTCCGGTCCTGGCAGATTATGAGACCCCAGAATAACTGTTGGACGCGTGCCCCCTGACTCCTCCAACCTCAGAATACCAAACAGCACAGTCTGCTCAAAGGGAGTGGTGGGTCAGGCCTCAGAGGAGCCCACTCCCACCGGGACAGCCTTACAATGGGGCTGCCTCAGGGAGGGAAGAGTTAACGAATGACATCACCAGAGAAGCCACAGACGGGAGAATCCCCGGAAGGCAAGGCAGATGGATCTGGCACGTGACCCCTCCCCGTGTTCTGGGAACAGGAAACAGGGAAAGAGGGCCAGGATCCTGGCGCCCCCCCCCAACCCACTCAGCTGATGAACTGGGCCCATCTGGCCTCCAGGGGATGAAGGACAACGGAGAATCAGGGCCGGGGCTGACAACAGGGCCAGAGGTGAGAGGCAGAGCTCCAGGGACAGGTCTTAGGTCAGGGTCAGGCAGAGCAAAGGCCATCCAGGTCTAGTGTCCCCCCCTCATCCCCCCCCCCCCCCCCCCCCCTCGCCCCGGGGGGGGGGGGGGGGGGGGGGGGGGGCGCTGTGTTCCAGTGTTTCCCAGTCCCTCACATGCCTACAATTTGGAGATTTGGAGTTGTGGGGAGGGTGCCAGGCAGCCCCAGCCAGCGACTTTGGAAGTTCCCCACCGCACTCACTCCCTGGCTGGACACGGGTTCCTCTCTGAGCGCCATCCCTTCCAGTGGGGCTAAGGGGACTCTGAGTTCCAGAGAAGGTATGAGACACGCACCGGGAGTGGATGCTGCAGCAGGAACCCTGGCTGCCCCAACTGTCCTGAGCCGCTGCACAGAGAGCTGCTGCCCTTGGGCAAGGCCGGTGGAGGGTGGGGGGTCCCCCACAAGGGTGGGGCTGCACCAGATGCTGATGAGTGTGCTCATGGGAGGCAAGTGGGTGCTCAGCAGAGAGCAAAGCACCAGCACCCTGTCCTGGGAGCCCTGGCCCCCAAGGACCCGAGACCTCCTTTCCTGTCCACCCCCCCTCCAGGATTTCTTCAGCAGCTTGTATGACAAGGAGGAGGGTGAGGCAGACTCTCCCACCAAAGCCATGACTCAGCGCCTGAAGCCCCACCCAGGGGACGGGGCACTAAGAACTAGGGGGCTGCGCCTCCAGGCCTGTCTGGAAGAGTCTGGACTCTCCCACGTGCATCCCAAGGCTGTGGGGCTCTCCCGAGGCCAAGAGCATGTAGGCAGGGTCCTTCTTCCCAGGTCTGAAGCCACCTGGCCTCACATCACTGGCCACAGCCTCCCACCCAGCCCCACTCTGGCTCATCTCAGGCCTGCCACCGGAAGTCCCTGTGGGGGAGGAGACAGTGGACCCTCAAGAGAACCTCAACGCCCTGTTAAATCAGCCCAACCGCCAAACCAACACGGTGTAGCTTCTACGATCCAAGGTTCAGATGAATCTCCTCAGCCCCCCTCCCAGGCCCAGCTGGGCACTTTCCAGGGGTAGCCCCTCCCTGCCAGAGGAAGCATGGCAAAACCCAGGCAGCCACTGCACCCACTGTGTGCCACAGTGGTGGCAGACCAAGCTAGTGGGAGGGAAGGCCAGGAGGTGAATGGGATGCCAGTGCCCCCAGTCCGACAAGGCAAGGTGGGCCTGGACCCCTCCACTCCGGGGGAGAAGGACCATGAGGTTTCTGAGCAAGCGGGGCGGGGGGGAGGGTGGTGAGGCTAGCGTGCCTCAGCCAGGACCAAGACCCTGGCTATGTCTCCCCCTACGGCCTGGGTCCTGGAGGGCAGTGGGTGGTGGTGGGGGCCCACGACTGTAGGTGCCTGAGCTGCTCACACCCCCTCCCTCAACCAGTCAGCAACAGAAGATGGGTGAACGCAGAGGATCCCCCCAGCCCCTCTGCCTGGGGCCCCTTCCTGGACCAACCCCTGACTCCTCATCCGTAGCCTCCCCAAGCCTTTGTGACTCTCTGTCCCTGTGTGATGGTTGTGCAAGGGACCCAGGGGGAAGAGCACCAGGGCTGAGGCTCACCAGTCCATCCACACACAGGTCCTCATGCCAGCACACCCAAGACCCAGCAGGCACACACACGCATGACCAAGGACACATGTACACAGAAGCATGGTAGAAACACTCACGTGCAATCAAATGTGCATGCAGGCAGTGACACAGAGTACACACACACACACTCAAATATGTATACACGATACACACAGATGTACAGATGCATATGCCTACTGTCAGAATACACGTGTGTTTAGTGCCAGAACTCATATGTGCGTGATAAACACATAGTACGTGTATACATCCGTGTACATATCCACACAGAGAGGTTACAAAGTGACACGTGCACACGCACTCACGCAGGCACGCACCTATCCCTGGTCTTCATGTACACATCAAACATGCCAGCCCAGTGGTGCGGCCCACCCACACATTCACGTCCAGGATCTGGCACCTCAAGGGAGGGTCCAGAGGAGCAGAGCTCACACATATGCACCAGAACACAAGCATATGCACCTGCCACACAGAGGGTGCTTCGTGGTGCACGTGGGTGAGCCCACCTGCACTACCAGGAAGGATTAAACAGACAAGCCCAGGGCTGGGTACAGGGCAGGACCCCCACCCGAAAATCCCACCCAGTCTGCTCAGCCTAGGGCCCACGCCTCCAAGCCCCTAGGTCACCCCTGCCAAGCAGCCAGCCCTAGACTGAAGCGTGGCTCCTGCTGCCTGACCCCCATGCACTGCTTTGGGCACACGGACCAAGACACATTCCAGGGACTGACGCTCCTGGCACCCAGGCCACCCCGGCCAGAGAAGGACTGCAGGGCCAGGAGGGCCTCAGCCCCGTGCAGGTGGCCAGCTCGATGGTGCAGACACAAAGCGGGGGTGGACACTCCCACGGAAAGGTGGCTGTACCGGCGGCCACCCCACCCCCACGCGCGCACTCTCCGCGCGAGGTGACCGGCACAAGGGGCATCTTTTGTTCAAGGCCTTTGGGCCCGGGGCTGCGGGCTTTGTCCGAGGAGGGGTCCTCCAGCTCCCGCGCCCCCCCACCCCCGGCTCCCGTGCCCCGGCTCAAAGGCGGCAACGACGCCCCCCCCCCCCAGCCCCGTGCGCCCACCCACGGCGACCCCGGGTGCCCCGCGGGGGCGGCGACCCCCGCCGACCACAAAGGGCCGCACCGCCCCTGGGGGCGCACCTGAAGCGCGGCGAGTCCTTGATGCACTCCTCGAACTCCACCGTCATGGCTGCGGCGGTGCGCGGCGCTCACTGACACGAGGACCGCTGAGCCCCGAGCGGCATCCCCGGCCGGCCCGCTCGCTCCTCCGTCAGCCGGCCCGCCCGCGCCGCGCTCGGCGCCCGCCCGCCCCGGAATGAGGCCGCCGCGCCG